CAGAATGCTCTTAACACACGCTAAGAGGACGTCTCCTTTCAAATATTCCATTTGGGAAATGTAATTCCATGAAATCGGCATTAATCAAGGATCACGCGTTTCTTTGGTCTCTTTTTTACGTCCGTTCGGATCGTACGCGTCCTTTAACGGGAATTTAATAATTTTTCATTTTTATAATGGCCACGTATCGAAGAATTTTTAATAAATATTAAACCAAAAATAATCAAAAGATAATCTCAAATATAAAGTCAAAGCTTCGAAATGATATTTCTCTTTTCCTGTGCTCGGAATGAATATTACGATTCTCGACGCGATTTCAAAATGCCTACTAATAACAAAATGTAAATATGTCGAAAATTGTCCCTCGAGGCAGTATAGTAATATAATGTAACGATATATTCATCAGAATATTCTTATAAAGCTTCTTTCTGTTGCTCCCATAAGTCTATTGTTTCTTCATTTGAATATACCAGTTTACGGTAATGGTTAAACACAGTTATTAACGACCGTTATTAGATCGCGATGTTGAACCTAATTGCTCGCCCGTAAGTGAGAATATTCTCAGAATGTTAACGAACTTTTCGATTTAATCAAAGGAGAGATTAGGAAATGCTGGCTCGTGTGATTTACCTGAGCATGTAAACAAACACTGTACAAGTCCAAGAAGATCTAAGAAAAGATGAAAGAATATCAGTGTAGTGTAAAGTTTACGGTTGATTAGAGGATGAAAGACAGAAATCACAGACAGTTTTCAAATGGAAGATCGTTTAAAAAAATGTTCTCGTTTTCGATTTATAAATGCACAACTTCCCTTTCGATTGCGCCACTCGTGGCGAGACACCTTATATAGTAAAATCGATGCATGGATAATTATGGTGTCGAGATGTTCTCCGACCACGCTTCGCGTTACAGTGACGTTCGACGATCGGCGTCGGAAAGATTTCTGATCGATATTTTATCGAATAACCGTAAACGATGTTTCGTCGCGGTGGAATGCAGTCGAGAGAGGCGCATGAAACGTCGCAAGGCCGGTCGTCGACTCGAGACTGATCGCGGCAATGTCTGTGCACTTGGTGCGAAAAGTGGCGTGCTCGAGAGCCGCGCTTGCACTTGTTTAAGTTGCATTCACGGCTGGTTAATGCAACGCCCACGCGATTCGGTTAAATCGTTGCGCGAGTCGCGTTGCGTCACAACTTTATGGAAGACTGCGGCGCTCGAGTTTACGACTAGAATTACCAGACGAGAACTCAAACGAGACAAACTGAATTCAAATTATTCGTCAAACAATCAAACATTCGAAACAAATATTCTCGTTTTACAAATGTATGTTTTTCTAGTAATTTCTTCAATAGTACAAGAAAAAAAATTCTTATATTATTCACATATAACTCCTTGATAATTTCAATGAAATATATTAATTACAAAAATACTTATCGCATTTTTAGTATACACGTGTTGAATGAATTCTATATCATTAAAATCACCCGTCGTATAAGAAAGCTTTAATGTCTTTATATATTCCCGAAGAAAATCAAAACCTGAATTCCATAATAGCGTGTTATTAACGATGCTTCAATAATTGTTTCATTTTCTATTCGATATTCGAAATTTGTATCTAGATAAGAATTTTGTGTACGTCCGACCTATCGCCTGACCCCTGACTCCACTTGGATCCTACTGAACATTTCTTCCATCGAAAGCTGAACGATTCCACGCGATCCAGTTGAAAGTCGCCCGTGAAACCGATCGATCGTGAACTTGCCTCAAGGCCGGGGTCATCGAAGGCCCGGCCTTGACCCGCGGAAGAGTCACGTAACGCCTGGCCGTGAAAGAGGAAGAAGGAAGCGGTGACGACGACCTCGGCCTGGACAGACGCGAGGGAGAGAAAGTGTAACCGATCCCAAGAGCTCGAAATCGAAAGTAATTTCCTCCATCCCGCTCTTTCTCCTTTCTCCGTTCCACGGTGAGCCCACGACGACGATTCTTTCTCCCAGCCCGTGTGGATTCGGGTCAAGTTCACCGTGAGTCCGTCCGACCGCTGTCCTCCTCTCTTTCTCAATTTCACTTTCCCCTCGTCCCGTTTTCCTCGCCCGTCGATCTTTTCCCGCGAAACGATCTCGCCACGATTTCACCCGGCGCACGGCCGCGTTATTATGTCAGTGTCAATGGCACCGATCCGCGCGTTGCACCGCGACGAAGGTGCTCGCACCAGGTAAGAGTTACGTCGTCCGCGGTTCGCTGAACCGAATTCCCCGCCATCTGTCGGCCGGACCAACGCGAACCCAAGGTGAACCCAGGTGGAAACGCCGCGTCTCGAATATCTCCAACGTGCTCTGTCGACTTGCTTTACGGTCCTCTCTCGCCTCTCAGGATGAACTTCCTCGCGTCGCGAATATATCAGAAGATGCACACGCAGCGCGGACGCGTCCTTTCGGACCTAGGTGCACCGCCTGGAATCGAGAAGGCGGGACACGAGGTGTCGAGTGGCTTCCTGAGACTCTCTGAAAACCGATTCGTCGTCTCTTATTTTCTTTTCGTCAACTATGCTAGTCTTTGCTTTCTTACGAGGTGTCGAGTGATTTTCGAAAAATTTATGAAAATCGATCTATCATTTCTTCGTTATTGCTTTCGTTTTTAGTGCTCTGCCTAAAATAAGAAAGATTCAGACCTAACGATTGAAGTAACTGCTTCGAAATTTACAAGTGTACCTGAATTATTTCACATTTTTTATAGTACTTAACCCAGACCTAACCCGAATTAGTTGGGAAACTTTAATTGCCTCTAAGATTCTGATTGCCTACGGAGGTAGTAAACTTAAAAATTGGCCCCATGGGATTGTCAAATATAGGAGATGAATGTTTTTTAATATAAATTCGTCTGCAATTACAACCCACGTGTGTACGCATTCACCACAATTACTTTATTCGAGTTAACTGACGTCGGAGCGTCGGCAGTAGTATAAGTCCCTCACTTCTGCGCCATTTACGTTGATCTTCGACAATTAATAACTCGGGCACAAAGCCTCAAACATAACTTCATCATACTTGATTTCCGTCTTATTTTGACGCGTAAAATCGTCCCTTAAAATTTCGAGTATCATTTTTAGACTACGCAATGTTTTTAATTGAAATATTTGTACTTTGAATTCCCTATTTTGTGTTCGTTGCATTTTATGAAAATAAATCGAAAATAGATTAAAAGTGGAAAAGAAGAAAAATTTAATGATATTATTCAAACATTCTGAAACAATATGTTCCAATATTATTCTATTATAGTCACCGAATATTTGGATATTCGAATATGGAAAAATTCAATAAAAAGCCTCAGGCGTAACCGTAGATAATGTAAGCAGAGAGTCGAACGGATTCTTACGATTTCGTGGAACCCTGACGAAATTCCTGACGATCGTAAAGCCCAAAGTACCGAATGTTCGTCGAGAGAGCAAACAAATAGGTCCGACGACAGAGATCGATTCGTCGGAGGTTAGAATTCCCAGATTCGGGGAAGGTTCGGAAACGAGATTTTCTGGGAACGCGCGGGGAGCTATGCGTGGCGATTCGTCTCGAGAATCTCGCGATCGCGTGTCCCCTGGTGCTGACCGATAATGAGTCAGCAATTTGAAAATCCAACGGCATTTGCTAATCCCTCCCCTCTTCCCTGACAAATATCACGAAACGAATTGCCGGATAGACCTTAACATAATTTCGACATCGTCCTTACGTGCCGGATACGTGGTCCATGAATCATACATTCGACGATCTCTCGCGACGCGTACCAAGTATTCGAACGTTCCAACTTTTCGCTGCACTTTCGATTCGCCCGTCGAATTTCAGATTAAAAAATTTCATGACTTGACCTGAATTACTCGCAATCTCCCGGAGAATGTCTAGCCAGGGGAACAAATCGATGCATAGCTCAACAAGTTAGTTAAGATTCCTGAGACTCGATCTCGACGTCCTCGTCGACTTAATTTCTTTCGAAGCGTGTCAGGGTACGATTGCTGGTTAGACTATAGGACTGGCCGATAGTCTAGCCGCAACCCCGACATTCACTTCTCCGCACTTGAACCACTGCCTCGGGTATCTAATTAAACTGGCTGAGCTATACTTTCGATCGATAAACTTCGCGACATCCTGCCCAAAGGAAGAATAAACGAACGCCATGGAAGACGAGATCCTCTATCGACGGCGTGCGGAGCGCGAATGCCCGACGCGAGGCGCAGTCCGCGGCTCCTGCGCGTGTGCGCAGCCGCGATTGCGCAGCGCGGTTCTGCCGGCTCTACGTAACGCTTGCTCGTCCTCTGGCGCGGCAGCGACCCTCGAGGATCCACGGCGACGTTGGGATCGTCGCGGGCATCCGAGAGATTCGAAAGGGAAACGCACCCGCGGAGATCGGCTTCGCTCGAAGGGTGATTCGAAAATGGAATAGGCGCGCGCTAGACTGGGGTCCGGAGACGGGGTCCCCGGTGGTTGAGAGAGAAAAGGGAGGCGAAAATGGAAGACGGAAGAGGAGAGAAACGCAGAAACGCAGGGGAACGTCGGAGAGAGAAGAGGCGACAGAGGGGAGGGAGAAAGGTGATAGAGTGAGAGAGATGGAAAGAAAGAAAGAAAGAGAGAAAGAGAGAGGAGCGAGGAGGAGAACAACGGGTCGGGAGAAGAGAGGATGCTCCGGTGTAGCCGGCGGGCACACATCGGACTCCTCTCCCTCGCCAATCGGCGCGCGCGGCGTGGGGCGAGTTTGAGGTAGGGGGCCGCACGACGCACAGCGGTGGTGGCGGTGGCGTGCTGCGGCGGCGGCGGCGGCGGTGGCGGCGGCGCGGCTGCCAAGGTATTTAAGGTACCGTGAACCGGCGGCGCACGAGTAGTTCACTTCTGTTCGGTGCGGTGTCGCGGTGATTTTGAGGGGACTGAAGAGACAGAGGGACTGGGGAACGAGAGAAAGAAAGAACACGCTCCGAACTCGCATCGCGGCTCGAGGGTGCGAGAGACGAGCGAGAGAAATCATTCGGTGTGCCCCTGGTCCTCGCGACGAACCGATCATCCCCCCAACGTTTACGCACTGCGAATTAGATTAGTCGCGAACGCGGAGGACACGTTTTCCGTCGGGACATCCTCTATCGGTCAGTGAAAAGGTTCCGTCGATTATCGATAATTCCAGCGTTTACGCATTCCTCCTGATTCACGATCGAGTGGGTCGCGCGTCCCGAGGAGATCACGTCGTTGGGCAGAATCGTCAGGGTCGTCCGTCGTCGACGACCGTCCTGGATAGGTAAGTCTCATCTCAAACAGTGAGGACTATTATGGTGCGTTGCAAAAAAGCTTGCGAAAGGGTGGAACACAGTGACGCCGTACGTTCGCGGTATACATATGCACGCTCGCGGCTTCTCCTCGATCTGGTGATACCAAGTGATCAAGATCAGTGATTCTGTTGCACTGTGCACGCTCCCGCCGTTCTCTTCGTCGTCGTCGTCGTCGTCGTCGTCGTCGTCGCTAGTCCCGTGGATATTATGGACTGTGACACTGTGCCTCGCCGCGGGATATTTTTATTTGAAAAAAAGTGTTCTCTCACCGGAAGTATGTGCAAGAGAGGAGCCGAGAGCAGCTCGAATCCGTAAGGGACGCGCCAAGTGATACGCTTGGGTCTCGAACGCAATCGATAGGATCGCTGGGTGGATCGTCGTCGATCGGGATACACCTGTTACGTTCGACCTCGATAAACCGCGTAAACAATTCCGATTCGATCGATCTCGATATGCTCCGCGACCAAACGAATTATCGCGGGAAACGATAGTTAACGCGTTCGCTGCGGTACAGAGCATACTTAAGTATATGTCGTGCTTGTCATACTTCATCGATACTTCGTTATATGGTAAGAGGATATCTCTGTAATTGTTCCTACTATTTTTATCAAAATTTGCAGAGTATTTCTTTTTAATTTAGTACGGAACGTAAATGTCCCGTACCATCTAACGTAAGAATCTATGAAAAGGTAAACGCGTTAACTGACTTTCCCGCGAGAGAGTCATCCGCGCGAAGATGGACCGGTTGAACCTGAGAACGGAGTCAAAGAGGCCCGGGCCTAAATAATTCAAGACGGCGTGCAATAGGTATGCGTGTCGACTTGCAGCCACGAAGGCTACTCGGACGTGCACGAACACTTCGTACAATTAAGAAACAGTGTCTGAATACCGAGGCAAACCTGGCCCGATACGTGAATACCAAGTCGACGAATCTCGAGGACCTGTGACGTCCGCGAAGCTCCTTAAATTACGCAAACGTAACGATTTTTTGTGCAATAATTTCCACAATGATCGTAGTACGATAAATCGTTACGTATGTGGCTCCTATTCGTCTATAGTCGCGTTGGAATTAAACCGTATCTCCACGAACTTGAAAAACAGTCGCGGGAGCGAGGGGACTTGGGTCCCAACGAGCCAACCGAGGTCCGATCGTTCCATTGGTCCCCGAACAAAGGCAGACAGTCGAAATTGTATCGATTTTCCCGTGGCGGGGGCCCGGTTGGACGGAATATAAAACAGGGGTCCGCGGTGGAACGCGCGCCAGCATAATGAGTCAAAAGGAATTCCAGGGATCGGAATAATGGATCGTTCCCGTGAGCGACGCGCCAACAGAAACGAAGAATGTAAACTAGGAGAATCTATAGAGGCTCGCGGGACCCCTTTGTGTCCCGACGGTTCTTCCTTTCTCGACGACGCCGCGTGACGCGCGCGAACGAGCGTCGAACTCCCGGAGCGGATGAATCGAATTTCTCCCCGTCGACGACGAAGACGACGAGTAGTCGCGTTCAAGACAGAAAGGAAGATCAGTCCTAACGTTAACCCCTCGACGAACATAAATTCGTAAATTTAATACACTCTTAACGCGTTCACTGTTATAGCTTACGTTTCGTAGCATGGGACGGACTTTCGTATCTAACGGTACAAAAGAAAAAAAGAAACATTGACTTTTCTATTGTAACCCGTGCGTTTCACAAAATACGAAAGTAGTATCAACGACAAGTGGAACGTGGAAACGAAACAAACAGCAAGCGTCTGACCCAATACGACTCGCGATTCCTTCGAAGGCTGATCTTCCTTTATCACCGCGATACGAAGATTCGAGCTCGAGCTTCCTCCGCGGCGAGCGTGCACGCGCGTTCGACGATCCCAACGAACGGAAACCATCCTAAAGAACCAATCCTGCTGTTCGCTCGCGAGAGAATAAAGAGAACGAATTTGTCACGGTCGAGGTGCGCTGGAGAAGTCGCGATTGCATTACGATCTACGATCACGACTTAGACGAGCACGCGCGTGGCTGATCGCATACGCGAGAGTCAGCCTCGCCAGGAAACGCGGGGTTTCTAATAAACGACTTTCCTTGCCTCCTACGCGGGGGTATAACACCGACGAGCTATTAATTATGCGACTCGTCTAATTATCTCCAACAGCCACGGTGGTGTTTCTATTTCACGCCGCGATAGGAATTTCCATGACTACGGGAGTTCGATAACCGACCGTAGCCGACTGATGCATCTGAGTTTCCAGTTCAGTGTTACCATGCCTTAGGTTCCAATCATACCAACTTCGAATATTTTTTTTCCACGATATAATTTGAAAGTTACTATAAATTGAATAACACGCTGTAGAACACCTTGTTCGATATACTACACATTGAAAGGCATAATTTATAATTATGAACAGTAGTTATAACAATGGTGTCCATCGGGTTTCGAAGTGAAATTAACGAATTAAAAAGGAAGCGTGAGTTCACACTCTGACGGTCACAGTATTTAGCCACTAGCTGCCGCCGGCTACTTCCGTGCAACTTTCAATACAGCGAATCCTTACAAACCGATTGATAAATATTTTTTAAAAAAGTTTCAAGTCCTTTGCTGTACATTACGTTATTGCAATTTGAACTTAGAGAGTTTAATGTATAGTGAGATTACCCATCGACAGGATAAGATCACGCGACCAGCAGCCGTCAAAGTAATTCCTCCGTCCATTAACAGAGTATTATTTTCATACGCAAATTTTTTACACCGCGGAAGGATCATCATCTCCGTACAATACGCTGATTACCCGGTTTCTTCCCTACGATTCACCCGGCTAATTGCTAATTACTAAACGCTAATTACCGAGACCGTCTTCTGGCCGTGTGCTGGACGGACAGCGAGGGTCCGGTGCTCGTTAGACACGGCGACGAAAATGAAATAGAGTAATGATGTGTGGGTAAGAAGCGATCCCAGGCACGCGAACGGCGAGCAATAACCGTGGAGAATCGATCCTCCGAGGAGCTCGATTGCGATCAATCGCGGAAGGAAGAAAAGGTGAGAGATTTCTTACGTAAACCGCGGCTAAATTCGACGGAACGTCGAGCGTCGTAATCGCGAGTTTTGTCGTCGTTCCATTAAAACTTGGACAGCGTGGCATAAAACGCAAAAACGTTAGACGTTATAAACAGAACGGTAGTAGGTTTCGAATTATCTGCATCGGGATTTAATTGCTGCCGAGTAATAATCGTCTCCGCAGCGTGTACTTGGTCGAACAGTTCTTTTCCACGCGTTCCCTACGACTAACCGTTTCGCAGAGGCGAATATTGGTTTTTGCCCGGGTCAGACACGCAGCTTTCTTGCAGCTGATGGTTCATTAGCTTTAATATACCCCTCGAAACGATGTCGCACAACTTCTTGGCACGACACGCAAAGCTGCAACGACGCTCTCGGCGAACCTGCACGAGACTCGCGGCGCATGTTATTGTTGTGGTTGCTGAAAAGTTACTCCAGTTTCCGAGCAAACGATGCGTGCACAGTCGATTAGCCGTTAAGAAAGCCAATTTCATGAGTTAAGCGACCAAAAATATATCCACCCCATTAACGCAGTGAAAGTATCCGTGAGCCGGATAATGTTGGGCAAGAATTCGTGCTGTTACATGCGTGCCCCATCGCGGACCTCCATTCGGGTCCTCGCTTCAGCGAGCGTTCGAATCACGTAGGCCCATACGAAACGGTAAAAACCCAGAGATGACACGGATTCCAGCCGCGCGACCGTCGCGCTGCTTTTCGAAAAAGAACGCTACTTAGCGTCTTCGACATCGGATGCACTCGGTGTTTAATCTTTTTTGATGAGACACCAAAACCCGACAACCTTTCTTCTTACATTTCTAATTTTATTTGACGCGAGTCGAGCCAACGCGATACAACGAAAAATCGGTTAGGACGTCGAGACGCATCTTTTGAGCGTCGAACTGTTTAAAAGCGATCGAGCATTAAAAGAGGGCAGGCGCGTTCTATCGACGCGGTATATAACGTTTCAAAAAGGAGGATCCCAGAGGCCGGTTCGTCGGACACTGGCCTGGCCTGGTATTGAAAAAGGGGTATTAAAAATATCGAGCACGGAGACTCGACTCATCGGCCCGTGAAATTCCGTATGCGCCGCGCTAGGGAAGCACGAAAGAGACGATCAATTATTTATGCCCGCTAAACGTTCGTCGACGACCGTGCGTTCGATTCGAATTCGAAAATTCCTCGAGGATCCCCGCGAATTTCCCGCCGCCGTACAATACCGCTCGCTTCTACAAAATCAAAGTCCAGACTTTGGACTCGTTGTTCTACTTAACTCTTTAAGGTCTGAAACTTTTCACGTTCGAAGCTCTGTATCCTGCCTTCCTTTGAATAGAATAGTAAACGTTCCCCGTGTCGGGTACAGCCGTACGAGAACGATTCGCACGGTACTTGCGGCGCGCGTTTCTAATATTCCACGCACGTGTTTTCACAGTACGCCAAGTGCTAATTCGACGTCACGCCTTGTCGTATCGCGTCGCCGAATCTTTCAAAAACCCGAGCCACGACGCGCGCGGACATCGTCGTTCCTCCCACGATTATCACGGAATTTGGATACGGGCGAGCTCGTGCGCGCAAATGCGAATGAACCGCTTGGAATTCACTCGAACGTTCGGCCATTGACTCGCCGCTCGGACGTAGAGCAAGAGCGCTTAACAGTTTTCCTTTGACGAGGACTCTTTTCACGGACAGAATCTGTTCCGTACGCTTTCACGGACTGTCACGGAAAATGGAAGACGGGCGATCGGTTTTCTGTCACAACCGCAGATTATTCGCGTCGTTCCGCCAGGAATTTCAGAAGACGAACGTTCCTATTCCGAGAGGACAAAGAAGTTCAATTACGACTGTCCGTTTGTTCGGTCCTTCCGAACGATATATCGTTCGCAGATACGATCGGAAAGGTCTTTAATTTCGTAACATTCACGTAC